CCCCCCCTCCCCCCTTTTTTTTTTGCGCTCTGTACAAAGCACCTTCCGGATGCCGTTGGTTTGGTGCATTCTTTTTTTTTTTTACTTTTTTCTTCCTCATTTTCTTGCACATGACGTCGGCGCTATCACGTGACTCCCAGGTGACGATCACGTGCGCGCGTTGAGATTGTCCGCGAGCCACCTTCCTCTCTCAGCTGCTGTTGCTACGCCGCCCTTCCCCAAGATGGTTTCAAAGGCGGCTTCTTAGAGAGAGGCGTGTTTCGCTTCGATTGACTCTTGATAATGTAGCGGCCACGTCACACTAGATCAAGAAGACTCCTACAAGGTCCCACTAAAGTGTCAAGGCCCGTAGAAGATCGCATTAGAGGAATTAATTTCGTACAAGATTACGCTGTAGAGTAGCAAGGCCCCTACAAGATCGCACAAGATTATCAAGACCCCTACAAGATCACACTAGAGTGACAAGGCCTCTACAAGATCGCACTGGAATGACAAGGCCCCTAGAAGATGACGTTACACTGAAAAGGCGCATTCAAGGTCACACTTGAGTGACAAGACCCTTACAAGACGTTACTAGGTTGACATCATACGAGAGTGATATGACAACTTCGTTTACGCTCCCACGTAAAAAGTTTGCCAAGGAAGTGTGCATTTGAATGTAGACAGTTCTTGTTTTTGTCTCTGTAGCAATCGAGTCATCGGAAAAATAGACCGAGTATGGTGCCTGCATATCTTGGGCTGGATGTATGGTGACACTGTCTAGAGCATTTATCGATAGGGACAAGGTATTTCTTTGCCTTATGAGGCAATGCACTCAAAGCTACGTATTCCAACTCCACCCTTTCTCTGAATTGATCATGCAGACTGGAACGTCGGAATTTGTATGTAAAAGTGCTATTTTTGAGGAATAAACGGGGTTTGTTTTAATAATGTGTACGTAACTCTGATAGTGTTTTCTTTTCTCGCGGGAAACGATATAGTTTCGGTTTGTATGGGTCTGCGGAATCGGCTGACCTTGTCAGTTGTCGGTTAGCCCTTCAGTGAGTTCCTAGAGGGTAAGAGCCGCAACGTTTTAGTGTGACTGTGCTTTCCCGAAGATATAAACTGACGACAATTTTTCAAAATGGCCTCAATAATCTCGGTTAGTCAGCCAAATTTACAGTGTAAATGAAAGTGTTAAAGCGATGCTAGAATCATGACATTTCTTTTCGCATTATTGCAATTCGCTTCGGTAATTTTGCTTGCAATTTAATTACATTTTTTACACCTGACACCAGTGTCCTTTGACAATGCCATTTATTTAGACTTACACTTCATTAAATAAGCCATTTCCCGTTGGTCTGGTGTTGGTCTGGCCGTTGCAGGACTTACTCTAACCCAACCCCAATCCCACGAACCCTGACCCATCCCTCATAGCGGGTGTCGCAGAGTTCAAAGTAGAGTTCTAATTTCCCCTAAAGATGAAGACTTTTCCCATTAATCAATCAGTCGGCATGGTCTTTCACATTGTGTTGAAACTGAGATAAGTAAAGCGATGAATGTACAAGAATGAATGAAGTATTGGTTTATTAAAAAGACTTTAGTATTTAATATTCAATATGTCACAGTATAAATGACGTAAGGATAACGTCATCGTTAAATGAACGTCCCGGTGTCTGCTGCAATAAAATATATTTTGGCTTTTATGTCGAAACCGAGCAGGAAACCATGACCTTGTGCACGCTCGTACCGAGAAAACGGGTGCCGCCTCCAAACGCTCCAGACTTTAGTCGGTAACCGAAGCGATTATAGGCGGTAGTCCCGCGTGAAGTTGTTGCGGAAAGCTTTCTGATGTCGCTCGCCACGGACGCGAAAGTCATAAACGTCGGCGGTACCCTCCTATTACCCTGGGCGTAAGAACGAAGGACGGACGTTGAAAGTTGGGTGCATTCAAGTGCAATGCGAGAGGCAGCCCAGTTGAGACGCGATATGTAACGTTGGATGCGGTAGGCCAGCGTCTCCATCGATCGCTTTTCGACGCGTGTTTCGTGGCCTTCGCGGCTGCCGTTGTGTGAAAAGGGTAAAAGTGAAATAGTTGGCAGGTGATGCAAGGGTGTTGTAAATTCATCCGGTCGAATTAGGTCGTTTGGTGTTCCGAATACATCAGACACCATCGCTAATGCCTGTACAAAAAAAAAAAAAAAAACGTTTTTTAGATAATTTATATCGATTGAAGTCTATTCCTGGAAGTTGGGTGCCAGCACGGTAATCTCAAAATTATGTTGCTCAGTCGATCTAGCCTGAATGCTCGTGGAACTGGACTTTTTCAGTCACTTTCGAGATCTGCCCTTGATATGGCACCAACGACGCTTATTTACGGAGTTGATTATGGCATACTCAAAGAACGCCGAGTTAAATGGATGCCAGCTGTCTAACGTATTTCTAGTTAGTTGCTTCAAACAATTTGAAATAACGCTAGGTAGCGGACATCAACTATCTGGCAGAGTTCCCAATCTGACTGTGGCCCGATAAGGCTGAGTCCGGATCTTCGATGCTGTACATTTTACCATGCTTTACTTCAGGGTGGCCAGATATAATGCCAAATTGATGCTCTGTTTTATTCCCAGTTTTGCTTAATGTGACCTTGATAGAACAGAACCCTTTTTGAACGTGATTGGGTCAGATCTGATCTCATTGTGATTTCAAGGCCAAGTTCCGGACGTTTGCTCTTCCACCTATATGGTGAAAAAATAGCGCACAAAAAGACGAGGACAGGGACAGGAACGGAACACAGAAGACAGACAAGCAGGCTGGATGCATTCCCCTGCCGCACGTTCCTGCTTCCTTCTTCTTTTCAACGTACAACACATTGGAGTTGTGAGTTAGCGCTTGCCTGTCTTCTGTGTTCCGTTCCTGTCCCTGTCCTCGTCTTTGTACGCGCTATTTTTTCATCGCGTTCAAACAGTACCAACTCGCCCAGCTTACCACTTTTCCACCTACAGTAAAACCTCGTTATAACAAAATGGGATATAACAAACTAATGGATATAACAAAGCAATCATAATTCCCCTTGCTTGTTAATAGTGGGAAGAAATGAATATTGCTATAACAAACTAATGGTTATAACGAAATAATTACGACCGCTCCTTCAAGTTTGTTATAACAAGGTTTTACTGTATATCCAGATCTGATTTTTGTATGCTCAGAGAATGCCTTATTTTGGGCCTGAGCTATTACGCATTTTGAAAACTAGCCGTCCATCCCTTTCTGAATGTCTGCTGTTATGCCGACTTCCAGGTCTGACATGAGGTGTACAGATAACTTGAGTTCTAGACCTCAGGTCTTTCGAATGATGGAAATATGTCGTTCAGTTGTGAACCTCAGATATGCGATATGCACTAGTTCCAGATCTGACTTTTGTTCGACAACGTAAAGCCCCGATACCAACACTGCATGCACATCTGCTTTTGAGACATAATTCCAGACGCCATCCTTGCTTGACTATAACAGATGTACTAGTGCTGGACCTGATAGATTCCACATGTTTTCCGGGTCTGAACCCAATTATCTTGCTGTTGCGAACTGCGGGTGGGGGGGAGCTAGGCGGGGTGAAGCCTTCATCAAGCTGCTTTTTAGCAGCTTTTCGTACCAGTCCCCTGTTTGTCATATAAAACTACGCGAAAGCAAATAAATTTGATTTGATACGGTCGAAGCTTCGTCCGGTTCTGAAACCATTTTTGTCTACCCTATCGCCAGGTCTGAACTTGCACGTCACGATTTCATAAGAGATGACGGATGAATTGGCATCCCAGCTCACTATGGCCTGTGGTCATCCGTCTTGAGAGGGCATAATAAGCGCTATCTTGCGCGTAAGTTACCTGTTGCGTAACGCGGAAAGGTTTAGTTGATGATTGGAGCTTCCATCACGCGAGATGCCCTTCCTCTTTGTTCCGGATCATTCATCAAGAAGAAGTTGCGTCATTTGGGCGTAGCTACTTCATCTAGAGTTCTTGAATGGGTGGGGGTGGACTACCGGGTTCTGTTATTGCCAAGGAAGAAAAAAAAAAAAAAAAGAACAGAGAGCAAAAACTAAAAGATCAACTCATTGGAATGATTACGTGAGGTTATGAGAAATACGTTGGAGGTCTGTCTTCCTGAACGGCGGTGCTCCGGCCCTCTTTCCCTGTTGTCGAATGAAGACACACTTTGAGACACAGATCGGCGTCCACGTGTAACGAGAACGAAATGTCGCAAAGCGCCCAGATACGAAATGGCGGTGAAGCAATGGCTGTGCTAAGAACACGTGATGAGATCGTGCTGATGCAAATGCTTGAAAGTATGTTTGAAGGCAGGAAAGAAGGTCTGCACGAGGGCCAGATCTGGCCATCACATAATTGACGCTCGGTGTTCTGATTCCGGGTCTGTGTTTACTGAGATTATTTCCCGTAAAATTTGCAGGGCGGTTTTCGGAACATTTTATTTGTGTCAGATGTTCGGAATTATTGCTCTCGTTCACCGATGCCAAGTTTTTCGGGATTTTCAGTGGTGTCCGAGCTCATGCGCTTGTAACTTTTTGGTTGTTTTGCATATTTGTGACTCTTCGTGTTTACGAAGATTTCGTATTACGACGCTGGGCTATGGATTCTGCAAACTCGTTGGAATGGTGTTGCAAGTCAACCGTCTACTAGACAAAGACAAATGAATCAATGACGACGCATCGGAACGCTTGACGTGACCCAGATGCATTCATTTAAGTTCTGTTCCCACGAGTACGACAACCGTCAACAAAACAATATCGACTTTCTGGCAACCGAGCGGTCTCCCGCAATACTGCTTGTTTTCCAACGTTTTTTTTTTTCTTCTTTTTTTTGTGGCGTTTTTGTAAGGTGCGTTCCTTGTTTGTCGCTGTGATGGGAACGAGGCGCTCCTTTGACTTGGTATCTCATGGCAGTGTAGTGGAAGATAACGTTATTTTCTCTTGGTTGATACGACAATTCTTTTTGTTTTCTTTTTAATTTCAGATTATCTGCGACACATGGATTCCGAGCAGCAGGCGATCATTTCAGACGAAGCGGCGTCCACAACAGCGGACGACAGCGAAGACGACGGTGGCGCCACAACGACGCCCGCAACAACTACAAGTGAGCTAACATCTCCATCGGTTTAATTAGTCGTTACGAAAAAAGTTATAACAAAAACTGCGCATGTTGGTATAATGTAAGAATTGAAAAAGATGTGAACCTCCACGCTATACTTTTTGTGTTTGATTACTCATTATACCGAGGAATCTCACAAGGTAAAAATGTCTTAAGTGCACACTGCGAAATCGTTGGCTTAATCTTGACGTCAGTGAACGCTCAGCAGCGACGCACTCAGTTATGGCCACCAGTGGTTACCATTTTATACACGTTTGCAAGTACGGCCTCTGGACTCCGCCACCTTGCTTCTGGTGTGAGTAGATCGTCTCATAGTCAGGCATTGCTGAGGCGTACCCACGGTTTCCAGACTGGCGCCCAAACAAAGCGTTTTCCATCCACGGTGTCCAGACTAGCTCGCGAAGCGCGGCCTCTTGCAAACCTCTATATGAAAGTGTGAAACTCTCGTTCAGACAATTAGGGCTGGTTCTCACTAGAGTTCCTGTAGAGGCTCCCTACAAGAGCCAGAGTTTTGCGTCTGTTTTCCACTTGTCGCCGCGCCGCTATTAGCCCAGATCGATCACGTCAGGAGCAAAGAATCCAGCGCCGTGCAGGAAAGCCACCGATATGGTCGCCTCGCCGATGCTGCATGCACGCGCCCCGGTGCGCCCGGTGGATGTTCTCCTGCCTTTTGCCTCCTTCTCCTCCTTTCCTGTTTTCCGTCCGCGGCGGTGCGCGAGGCACCGCTATTCGCCGAATTCAGTCACACGACGAGCAAAGAATCCAAGGCTACGGCCACCCGCCGAGGATGAACGCGCAACTCTGCTACGAAATAGGTATAGCTATACAGGAACTCCAGTTCACACATCTGCGTTTTAGTATGATCGACTGCCTTGCAGCCACTTGTGGTCGCTTATGATGAGAGAACAGAATGGCTAAATCGAGAAAACAGCGCAACAAACACAAAGACGACTAGAAGAAAGGCACATGATGAGCGCTGACTGACAACTAAAAGTTTATTGAAGAAACACACAACAAATCATAAGCCATTCTACTCTGTGAAGGTTGATGACCAGCGAAGCTGTTTAGCGCACGACACAGACGTGACACAGAATTTTGAACAAAGGTACGAACGCATGTATTATCTTCATCGGTGGTCATCGTGACGAGAGGTGCGCACACACATGTCGAGGGCTATCGCCGCCCCGAAAAGCCAGAGGAAACTAGACACGCGAGACTTTACAGCCACCCGGCAGAAGGAAAGGAACCAAGGCGCGCAAGCGCTTGAAACGACGGCAAAGAGAGGGCGGTGCGCTCTGTCCTCCTTCTTTCCGCTAATTTTTCCGTTAAATTTAGCGGGAAAAGTTTTCCGGTAAAATTGGCGGGGAAATTTTGTGCTATATTTAGCGGGGAAAATGGAATTTTCGTTGACGCACAAAAATTCCACGGAACCTTAGCCATAAACAGCGTTGCTGTAAAAGCAGCGACGGAATGGCGCCATCCGTCGTGCAGTCCTGGAACCATACCGATCTGCGTATATTTTACGCTTCATTCTTTCAGCTTGCGCTTGAGATAATTCTTGCAATGCTAAAGGAGCCCATTTCTCTGAAGCAGAGTACAGTGAAAAGATTCGATCATTTCAAATACTGCAAAAACCTTCAGTCTATGGTCCTACGTAGGTCGGAAATGTTCCAGGGCTTCCTGATAGATGGCGCCAGCGTGCCAGCGTGTTCTGTGGTCATAAACGCTTACAAGCGTTTAAAATGCAGTTGCGATCCCTCGAACGCGAATGCGCGAACCAGTTTACGGCCCGAGCATTATACCGACTGCATCACGACCGCTTACGTTTGGTACCGTCAGATGCAATTACGCGTTGCTGTGGTCTTAAAAGCCTTAAGACCATAGCAACCTTAAGAGGGAGGGGGGATAAGGGGTCAACGATCTTGTGCGTTTAGAAACCCGATGCGGACGGGCCAGTGACAGGAGCGGTAGGCCCTACAAGAAGTAAGCAGGAATAAGATTAAGAGACATACAGCCAAGGCTTGGCGGCCTTGGATGACTAGTCTTCTCAATGGCGACGGTTGTTCAGGCTTATATGACTCTACGCGAACATTTTATTTTGCTTTTCTTAGTGCATGCCCTCGTGATGTAGGGGGCGACTAGGGGCAACGGGTGAGCAGCTGTCACTGTGAGCGACGGGTCAAAGTGGGCTCTGTTTGGGATCTATGCTACTTCAGAGTCGAGACACGCGTCGGATTTACCATGGCGTGCCAGAGAATAAAATCTAAATAGGAAGAAGTAAGAGCCTACGAACGGGAGAGACCACCCGCGTTGCGTAAACATCGCGATCGCGTTTGCGCAATGTGGGAAAGAGAAAGACGGTGTTATGTTAGAAGCTGCGGATAAAATGGTGCGGTCGCCTCGGCCAACGAGGCTGGCTCTATCTTCTATGGATTCGCCTGCCACTAAAAAAACTCAAAACTCAAAAACAAAAAATGTTGAGTCTTTAAATAGGATACGCACGTCATAAAATATACTTTTCGCGCACACACAAAAAACTTTTTTAACGCAATATTTACGCCGCGAGACATATTTGTAAGTTAAGAGATTTTGATATTTCTGAGCCCCTAGAATCGCTCCACTAAACCCTCCCCTCAAAAATAACTAGCTAAGTGCCTGATTTGGAGATATATCTTACAAAATCAGGCCCCGTTTCCCCCATATAAACAAATAAATAGCGCGCAATGTACGTTGTCAGACTCATTTTGAGTGAGAAGCAGTTCCGTAACATGATTGTGTTTTGACAGGCAGTCGCGGGATATAGAAGCATCAGATGAAAGCAATGAAGTCTCGAAGTAAATCTCGCAACGTAAAAATTGCGCAAAAAAAAAAAAAAAAAGTTGCTTTTTGGGATGAAGTTTTATTATTTTTTTCTGCGACATCCATGTTTTATCCAGGCACTAAAGATACTTTTCCTTTTTAGTTTAGTGTCTCATCACGGGATTGAACCCGGAGTCTAGGTGACGAGGCAGATAATGCGGATGCTTCTTGGGCAGGAGTTTCGATGGCGTCAGAACGATGCCGAGTTCTGATTTGCTTTGATTAGAAGGATAGTGGGTAGACCCCAATGCTAGATGCCTCGAGGTCCACCCACTATTTCTTTTTTTGATCAGCCAATAAGAGCTCGGCGTTCTGACGTCATCGCAACCCCCTGTACAACAAGCAGACAAACTTGCTTTCCGCTTAAAGATACCTGCCTCAGAAATTGTCGCGAAGCTGCGGTAACGCCGCTACTACATCTTACGAGAGATTCTCTGTCAGACACAGTCTGGGGTGTCTTTTTCCTTTGTATGACGTCACACTGGTCCTACAAGCACTGTCGGCAGACATGTTCGTGTCCGCAGATGCTCCTCTCATTATGTCTGCAACGAACACCTAGTCTTTTGTCTGATGTATAAGCAGCCATGGGCGTACCAACCGGGGGGCAAGGGGGGCACTTGCCCCCCCCCCCCCCCCCCCCCCCAGTTCTCAGAGTGGGGGGGGGGGGAGCAAGGCATGTGTTTTGCCCCCATCCCCCATCTCAAACAGCCGCCACTGGGCAGGGCAAACACTGGCCAGCAGCGCCCAAGGGATACCAAGGGCACTGCCCCCCCCCCCCCCCCCTCCCGGCCCTGGGGGGGGGGGGGGGGGGGAGGTTCTGGTTTGCCCGCCCCCCGCTCCCCCACTCAAAAACAAGTTGGTACGCCACTGTGAGCAGCCTAACCACGTCTTTACATGTCTTGTCCTAAACAAAGGGGAAGGGGGGGGGGGGGGGATAAGTTCGTGCGGAAGCCAGACGAGTTTTGAGTCCAGCCATGATTCATTTTGATTGCTGAGCTCTCGTGCACGTTGTTTCGTGTCGGTGGCTCGGTGTCGACATTGAGGTTTCGAGGCGGCGCGGGGGATGTCGAGGCCCCTCGCATGCATGTTCTCGCATTGCAGGCTACTTGACACTAGAAAAACATGTTTACGCGTATACGTTTATCCATCGAACCGGACGGGCAAGCCACGGCGCGCGCAGCCGCTTTTCGTAACTGCGTGTCTGACCGAAAAAAATAAAAGTAAAGTAAACGCTGCCCACTTCGGACCGAGTTTATTGGGAGCGTTTACCGCCGTATAGCTGCGTGCGTCGTTGATGGCGTTGCCTGAAGTCGAGCGCGTGCTGGCAGACAGTTTTCGTCAGGTTCATTCCGTTTCATCAGAGGCGCATGAGCTTCGGCGTTGAGTATCGTTGTGCGCTTTGCTGGATAACGTGGTGTCTATATAGCTCGGTTCACTTTACGATGGGCCGCAGTATACGCTACGAACAATCCTATAGTATAAACCTTTAAAACAAAACGCCGGAAAAAGGCGCAGTTACAGTTTACGTCCTCGCAAACTTCCGAGAAGACTACTTCGTTTAAGCCTGAGCCCAGACGCCGCCGGCGCTACAAGGTAATGAGACACAATCAAGCAGCATCAAAAACGCAAGTCACTGTGCCTTTTTAGTTTATGACTAGTTCAGGCGATGATAGAACACGTCCGAAAACAGACGAATACCACGATAGTGCGCTTTTGAGGCTATCCGATTGGTCCGAAGTATAGCAATCCCCACCATAGCATTGCTTCTTGTAACGTATACGTGATATATTTTGTGGCCAGTTCCCCGTGGTGGTTACCTGAAAGACCGGTTAGTGAGAGATTGGTCGGTGATCTTTCATTACACCGGTATGACGCTCGATCCCCTCTTTTACGCGTTGAATAGCACAACGGACGGACCTCGCCAAAATCCCCAACTTCGTGATTTCCGCAGAACGTTCTTCGTCCCATGAATTTCGACGTCAACAGGTTTGGAAAAGGGCCAGCGAAACGAAGCGACCGGAAATGCATTGGAAGCCAAGAAATTCTTCGTGTTTGTAAACAGTAAAAGGGTCTATAGTCTATACACTCCGTTTCACTTCAGCTACGACAGCAGCCGATACTCCGATCCGATGTAGCCAATCAAGCGGCGCCGAAAGTGCATTGTCACGGCACTCGTCGTCTTTGTGGGTTTGCTGTGCGGAGCGCAAGTTCGTCTGCTGCTTTTGCAGAGGGTTGCGGTGACGTCAGAACGATGGCGAGCTCTGATTGGCTCTGGCTCTGACTTAAAAACAGCTCGCTTTCATGTCTACCCACTATCCTTTAAACAGAGCCAATCAGAGCTCGGCGTCGTTCTGACGTCATCGCAGCCCCTTGCAAAAGAAGCAGACGAACTCGCGCTCCGCATAGCAAACCCGCAAAGACGACGAGCGCCGTGATGACGCACTTTGGAAGCTGCCTGATTGGTCAGAACGGATCTTCGTGTCGGCTGCGGTCTGGTTTGAACGAAGTATAGCCGATCCAGCGCTATGACCAGAGCACGTGACTACGTGACTAAACGGAGGCGGGATATGTCTCTGAGCGCGCGCGCCCGCGCGCTTTGCGCGTTACCAGCTGTCGGTCACGTGACCGATCGAAATTAAATACTGCAGCTGCTCACATTGGAGGTGCCGTGTTCGAGCGCTGCGGAACGCGACGCGGTTTCATTCTACGTTGGTTTCATTGAAAAATAAAATAAAAAAAAGGTATTGTATTTTGCCGGCCACTAGACCCCATAACCCGCATTCTAACACTCGGTTTTGTGAGTGCCATATATTACGACGAGGCTTCTATCTCGCGACCGTCGCGCGGAAAGACTGGAATAATCCGACGAAGCTCTGTCCACACAGGCCCGTCATGCGGCGTCTGACTACCGCGAGTTTGGCACATGTGGCTTTCGTCACATCTGCTGGGCAACAACACCGCCTCCTCAGCCCTGTTTAGGAAAGATTCAGGAAATTGGGCGGATGACGGACATCACTTCTTGACGGACTTGTGCGGTGTTTATATTGCCTTCTTTCTTAGCTTATATAATACACATTGCGTTGTCGAGATATTTTTGTCTCTGAAGTTTTACTGTTGCAATTTGTTTTGGTGCTATATGCGCGATAAAGTGTATTTAGTTTACCGCTGATCTAACTGTGCACTGGAGACTAGGCGCTCGGCAGGTTAACCAGTCGCCCGCCTTTCATCGCCTGACCCCATTCTCTGCGCGACAGTATGCCCAGGAACCGTGATCATGTGGCGCAAGACTGATATTTGACTTCTCCAGCCAGCACGTTGTCTCATTCTTTCACAACGCAGCTACTACGCAATGCGTGTACCATTCTTCCCTTGAGGGTGGAATTCCCGTTGAGTGTTAATATAGGTTCGTCAACCTATTTTCTAGAACTGTGCAACTAGAAGATAGGTTCTACCAATTTTCTGTAGGTGTAAAACCAGAAGACAGGTTATATCAACCCGTCTTCCTATCTCCAAAAAGTGTGGAAACCTGATTTGCGTTGCACTTTTTTCTTTTTCATAGCAGGCTGGCAGAACCAGCGGGACATCACGTGCTGCATGCTGGGCCAGATCGCGGGCGACAAGGGATACCACTGCTTCGCCAAGTTCTACGCGGCGCGTCTCCTGATGCGCAACCGGAACCGGGCCCACAACCGCAAGATGAGCTTCTACGGCCGCAACAGGATCCCCGACTACGGCCGCAAGGTCATGCGCACATTCGAGCAGTGCGTGGTGGGCGACCGGGGAGTCATCTTCCACAAGTGCTGCCACCTGGTGGCCGTCGAGAGGCGGGACCGGATTCGTTACAACACCACCCACCAGGCGGAGCCCTCGACTTCCGGCGAAGCGGCGACGACCAACATCACCTCCGGTGCCACGGTCGAGCACCACCATCAGCACCATCATCATCAGTGATATTTTGCACCCGCCACATTGCAGACAAACCCAAACGCATGCACATTTGCCCCCACCCCCCCTCTCCACAAATACTTCACCCCAACACCGTCTCAACGGTGTTTGGAAGTTTCTCCATTTGATTGGACGTAGTACTCATGTACGGTTCGCGCGTGAAGTCATGGCACCATGCTGGTGGTCATCCCCGATTGTTCCCGTGGAGAAAAGCTAATTCGATGGTGCGAAATGTATGCCACAGAAGCTGTCCTAGCAGCAGCAAGGCCGTCACAACAGTCGCTGGCGTGACGCAATGCAAGCCATGCATACTTTTTCATCATCTAGTTGAAAAATAGCCTCCTGGAAGCCTCAGATGTACAGACGCGACGCTTCGCTACGGTTCCTGGTACGCGCCTCCGGCCGGTCTGTGTACCGCGTCCAAAAGAGTGGTCCCTCGATTTCCGCCTGATGACGTCATAGGTGCGTCATACTGTCGCCGGTCACGATTCTGGCGATGTCACAACAGCTGTGATGGATGTGGCAGGCGGATGTTCCGCTGCAGACCGCTCTCCAGCTTGGCAGCCCACGGATGCTTGGGACAGCGACACTCGCGTTCGCCCTTCCTTTTTGCCGCAATTTCTCTAGCCAACCACAAGGATCGCGACATACGACAGCGTGACATTTCGGCTTTTGGTACATCATTCGTTGCCACTTCGGGACATCTATCGATGCGTAGGCAGAAAAATGGGACGCTTAACAGACCAGTTAGAGACGCGTTCCAGACACCGTAGCTGCGCTAAGGGACAAAGCCAACTTTCTTAGCGAAACGTCTTCTGCCAATCCGAGGCTTTCAGAAAAGTTTTCGAGTTCTTTGTACCAGCTTCAACTAAGTGCCTTCGTGCTTTGTTCTTTTCACACTAACACTGACAGTGCGATGGAAGCGACATGATGGCTGTACCAATCAGCCGTTTTCCCTCGTCTCACGTTGTCGCTTTTCCTCCACGTGGCGGTCAACACGCACCTATAGCCGGGGTCAGGTTAAGAGTTCACGAGTACGCTCCTTCCACTTTTCACTTTCGCAGGGCTAACGCTTCCTCTCCAGCGTCCGCTCTGCTAAAGTGGAGAGAGGTAGTAGGAGCTTCCCCTGAAGTTATCACCTGACACCGATTATAGAATAATCAAAGCCCATACCAGTATAGCATTTCGAAGTCATCACAGTAAGATCCAGCGCATACGCAAATCAGACAAGAGTACCGCGTCAGCGTTCTGCTTGTACTCGTGTCTTGTTGAAGGACGTTTGGCGTCGGGCTGGGGTCCAGTAGCTGAGTTGGCGCTATCCGAGTGCGATGGCGTCATGTGGAGTATGTTTGCAGGCTTTGGTTATCCTAGGTGGTGCTGGTACCGAGATGGAAAAAGTGATGTGACGTGGTGCAGTGGGCAAGTGCTGATAGGTCCAGCAGCAAATGTTTCTACAAGACTGTTGCGTGATACACGCTTGATACCTACAGGGTATAGAGGTGCCCAGAAGGGCGAGTTGAAGTCGAGACAGACTGCAGGTTCACACGGGAATGAAACAAGCAGATGAAGTTATAAGTGTTCCCACTGGCAGGTGAACTTTTGTACTTTGCTTTGATGGTGTGCCAATCAGCTTCACAGGACCCGCTCTTCCCTGCTTCGTGTAACATTCGAGATTGTTCATGTATCATGAGGAGGATGAGAAGATTAAAGAAAATACTTATTGGAGGAAAGATAAAAAAAGGAAGATATTGCACTGGACTCGACGTGGGTACCAATATTTTTTTTTTGTATATGGGAACAGGGTTTTACAAATGAGGCTCCACGGTCGACTGCTAGTCGGTGCGACTAGTGGTCAAAAAGGGCAACTTTAGGCAGTACCTGGCGCCCGAACAATCGGATACGAGCGTTGCATCACAGTTTAGCAGGGGCACTCTGATGCTCGAGATCGGAATCAACGGATGTGGCCGCGGAACACCGCAGAGTTGCGAAATTGCTACACTGGATATTGCTACTTTGTCAATCCAAACTTGAGGAGCTCGCATAGTATCTTGGATGTCTCCACACGTGCCTTTGTTTCGGGAGATGTGACTAAAATAAAAGTGCATATTATAATTGTTTTCTTTTTTTTTTTTTCAGTATTTCGCCAATGTTTCCTTGTTAGTGTGTTTATGTTATGTATATTATCATCTGTATATTTTTTTTATTTTTTACCCCAATCCACTCTAGATTGCAACACTCAGCTTACGGCTTCTATGACTCGTACTGAAATAAATTCTGGGTTTCGGAGAGCGCCTTAGCGCCGGCAATGTATTGTAAAAAAACGCTATATCTTTGCCATCATTTCAACTTTACCGAGCCAAGTGTAAAGAAACGGTTTCTGGAACTTCGGTGCCTACTGTTCTTTTCTTGTCGCAAAAAATGGTTCTTACTTGTTTCTGTACTTAGAATTATCGTGATGGCCGAATCGCAGTGATATTGAAGTACTGCGAACATGTCAGCTTTTTTAAGCCCGACAAGTTTTCTATAAAGTTGATCAAAGCAAGGAGATATACATACTGGCGCGAGAAGTCAGGTCCGGGAAGCAATCATACATGCTTCATGTTTCTAATGTAGCTCTGAAAAAGTTGCGTTGGCTGTCGATCAGAACCCATGTGCAAATAAATCGTTCCTGAAAAAAAAAAAGATTTTTGCGCATGTTCAGTAGCCTTCTGTAGGATAAGGCCCTTGTTTAAAGCTACGAATTGGTGTACCGCCAACACTCGACTCTAACATCACGCCGGTGCGAGTTCGGTTTCTGGGCATGCGCAGTGCTGGTGCGAGCAAACGTAGACTTGTTCGTGAACATCGTATTAGTTTGTGGCTGTTTAAGATTGGGCATGAGTTCAAACAGGAGTTAAGGTTGATGACGATTGATGTGAAGTCCTCAGCCAGCAAACTTACTTTCTGTTATTAAATGAGACGGCGCAAGTACGAGGACTGAGGATGCGTGACTGATCGATCACATATTTTTGTCAGTAACGTTGCGCTATGCTCTTGTGCCCCATTCAGACGGCCAGCATAGAGGTGAATTTTAACATAGGTTCTTTTTCACCGCGGTGCAAGATAATACTCTTCAGGTGAGGACAGCGCGCTCCTCGCGCAGTGCAGATGAAGTTCGCTTTTCACTCTTTCTCTTTCTCTCTCTCTCTCTCACTATGGTTTCAAGCGGCGCCGGCAGATGACTCGTCGACACGTGGGCACTAGAGTTCCTGTATAGGCTCCCTACGGGAGGCTCCCTACGGGAGCCAGAGTTGCGCATTTGTTTTCCCCGCGCCGCCACGCCGCTATTCGCCGAGGTCCATCACGTGAGGAGGAAAGCATCCGTTGGCGTGCAAGAAAGCCACCTTTACGGTCGCTCGGCCGACGTTTCTCTTGCCCGGCGTATGTTTCCCTGCTTTCCGGCTCCTTTTCCTCCTCTCCTTCTTCTTCTTCTAAGCGTTGTGAAAGATGGTGGGGGGGGGGAGGAGAGGGCCAATAGTGGTTGCGCACCGGGCGCTTGGTCACTGGCTCTCGGGGGGAGGGGGGTGTGGGGAGAAAGGTTGGGGGTGGAGGGGGGAGATAGAAATAGATTTGTAGAAGGGGAGGGGGGGGGCGGGCATGTCGGAGTACGCGCGAGGGGGATTAATTTAGTTGCATCGAATACCGGGTGGCCGGGGATGGGGGGGCGGGGGGAGTTGGGGGTCCAGCGCTGGAGGCTGGCACGGCGCGGTGTCCGGCGATCAAGCAATCGTCCGGGGCGACCACGTCGTGTGGTGGGAGCATGCGCGGCGGCGCGCGCGGCGCCGCTATTCGCCAAATTTAGTCACGTGAGGAGCAAAGCATCCAGCTCGTGCGGGAAAGCCGGCGCTACGGCCACGCGCCGAGTCTGAATGCGCAACTCTGCTACCGTAGGTAGCATATACAGGAACTCTAGTGGGCACGGCAAAGACGGCTCGTGCCGCCTCATGCTCCACACGCGCAGAGCTCCAGCGAGGTTGTCGCACGTGGAGAAAGACCACGGTGTACCGGGGTGTCATGGCAACGAGATAATTTTTTTCGCTCTCACACAGTTTCCCCGTTTGGCCGCCGGCGACGCTGTCAGCCGCGGGCACGTAGAGTGCCTTCATACACACGGCACCCTACGGGCACGGTGGCCGCGGAATAATGCAGCCTTTCGGATGCCCGTCGAACGAACACTATCTCATTCCTCGCGCCCCGCGTTCAGCCCCGCCGTGTCCTCACCTAAAGAGTGTATCTTGCACCGTGCTTTGCACACGGCAAATCAGCTCGCGATCACGTGCCACTCGCGGAAGATCGCGAACTGATTCGTGGCTGACCATAAAGGATCCTTGGCTAAAGAGGCATTTATGATACGTGCGAATGGGGTGTTTGACTAGTGTGATGGTTATGTTGTTACCTCCATACAGTTATAGCTGCTGGGTCATGCTTGGGATTTTTTTGTGCAGAGAGCACCTCAGGTTTACTAGTCTAACTGAGGTCACTTGCGGCATGACCCCTTTAGGTACATATTGTTTGCTTTGTTAATTTGTGTACTCCGGTGGGCCTTTCCACTGAAGTGGTGTTGTAATTTTTTTATTGTCAAAGACCAGCGATGTTTGTTGGTCATTATAGCTACGTACAGGATTAAGGTAGACGTAAAATTGCTGTCTAGTTGTTTGCAAACTTCGTCACATATACATACAAAATATATTATTGTAAATTGCATCAGAGATCTTTTTATCGTAGTATAACGCGAATGTAATATTGAATGCCATTTTTTGACGATCGCGAGGCGTTTAGAGTTCTGTGTTCGCACATGGTTTGAGTGTGAATGAGTTTTCTCTGGAATATATCCAGATTTCTTGCCCGAGGATAGAGAGAAATCCCTAAACCATTTTATTTGAATCGCAATTTCATATATGTCACATGTATGTCACAAATGTAACATGCAGTCACAAGTGGACTTGCGTGTAATAAACGAGTCAAAATGTTCTTGCATTTGCATCGCAGCAAATAATAAATCATTGCATTATTTAGAAAACAAGAAACTTGTTTTTCGTTGCAAAGTTTCGAAATTTTTGGGCTGAATCAATCAGTTACTGAAGGTAAGTGATCAACGATGTCTTTTGTTCAATTGACGCCGTCGCTTGCCGGCGTAGAATAGCTCAAATCTTCCCAAGTGGTTCCAGTACCAGAAAACGCAATAAATGTCATAGGGTTTGAGCGTAAGCTGAGGCATGGATGACCAATAAAATACCCCATTTATCAACATACATTGAACCCACAGCGTCACACCTCCCCCTGTACAGGGGTATGTAGCTTCCGCTAAATAAGGAAACTTCAGTAGAGCAAAGAAATATTGGCTTTCATGAATTTGACAACGTCTGGAGTCAGCTGAATGCCAGATGTGGTTTTATGCCAATTTCACGGCCTCGAAAAGAGAAACTATGTACCTAAAGGTGTATTAAAAAGGCTTCTGACCTTCACTTTTATGGCACTACCTGGATCCACGTGCTTTAAGAAGCCAAAAGCATATCTTGAGCATGCATTCGCTTTCCTGTGAGAAACGCACACACACAAAAAAAAAAAAAAGAAAATCATAGACTACTTTTCCGGGAGGGGGCAGACACCCAAAGCTAAACAGCGCTCCACGGTCTTCAGTCTTTATTTTTTACAACTACAATACAATTATTACGTTCTTTTTAAATATTTAACAACTTAGCTCTCAGATAAGCTAACAAGGCTTGGGTGTAGGACGCGGCAGTAGTGGTACCAGGCAAACGAGGCAATCTAACAAAAATCACAATTTGCATGTTAAAAAAAAAACATTATTTTTGTTATATTTATATTGCCTTCACTATTATCAGCTACAGAAGCCTAAAAGCGAGTGGTATCTATAACCAGTTTTGGGTAAGTTACTTTTAATAAGTAATTCGTTACAGTTACAGTTACTTTCAGAAAAAAGTAGCGAAGTTACCGTTACAGTAAAGTAACGACGTTACTTTTAAGTTACTTTTCTATAACGCGAAAAATGAGAAAAAACTAGAAAACGCCCCTCAGAACGTTTTATTGCACAAAATTAAAAAGTACCCTTTTTACTTCATATTGTAACTTAGCAGCAGTTGCTTCTCGAAGTTAGTGTTTGAAAGTTTCTACGCCAGAGTAGTGGCGCAAATCAAAATACGAAACATGCGCAGTGCGGAGTAGTGACGCCAATCAAAATACGAGACATGCGCAGTGCCCTCCACGTGTATTGTTATTTCACGGTTGATTCACCCGATTAAAAAGCGTTTGCACAGAAAAAAGAAAAACCACAACATAGATAGTGCTTAAGACACTAAGATGTAAGTGTTCAGTCACAAAGTACACGCGCGTGCGTAAAGATAACTAGATATTTTTTTTTATAAAATCTACACGTGGCTATATTCGGGTCGTGACTCGCGAGAAAGAACGTATTTACAACTTTGTGCAAAGCCAACTTGACACTCGAAATGTCGGAGTCGACGATTTGGAAAGTGCAAGGAATGGCTAAATTGCACTCGTTCAGTGATATATTATTCATAAAGCACTGGAAAGTAATGACAAAAGTAACGTCGTTACTTTCATCATTACCTCAGAAAAAGTAATAGAACTACAGTTACAAGTTACATTTTAAAAAAAGTAACTCGTTACAGTTACAAGTTACCAAAAAAGTAACGTAGTTACAGTGACGCGTTACTAGTAACGCGTTACTACCCAAGACTGCCTATAACTAGCTGCACAAACCCTTATCAGTTAGTATCGACACTGTCTTTGATTCGATAAGAAATACAATTTAGAAAGTTCCCTCGAAGTAACTTCTTCCCCAAATATTTTTGTTTCCCATTTCCTCTGTTCGTTTTTTAATTCACATTTTTTTCTTCGACATTTTAAGGGTTTAGGAGATTTCATGTTAAAGAGTAACTCCGGTATATTTTCTCGATTTTAGGGTTACGACGATTTTTAGTGAGAAAGTTCTTAAATTGTAAAATGCCCGTTTTCTTTTTTTTTTTTTTTTTTTCTCGATGATTTGTGTACTTTTGTAGAGGTCCTATCTAAAACTTTGGTTTTGGGGATCTACGGCGAAACCGAATTTACCGGCTCGAGCATCATGGCAACCCCTCTGATCGGCTGCATGGCCATCGTGTGACGCAATGTTCGTATTGCGGTACTGCAAAGCGTACGACTGGCCGGTACCCCCGCGTCACTAGTGTGCAGTGGAGGCGAAGGCAACGCCAGGCGAAGAGAGAAAGGGCGAGCACTAGGAAGGCGGGACGGGAGAGGAGGACAATGGAGTGCGAGGTGAGAAAGAGCACTAGAAACGTTAGAGAAGAGAGGAGATTTCTCTCTTCCTCCCCAGCCTCCCTAGTGCTTGCCCATTCTCCTCTCGCCTGCCGTTGCCCTCGCCCGTACTGCACGCAACTAGTGACACGGAGTATAGTCGCAAGACCAGTTCCGATCAGTCAGGTATAAGATGCTACGGCTGTTTTACTGCCTTGCTTTGCGGATGGCAAACATCTGTAGCAAATATTAAACTAAAGTGGTCGGCCGAAAAGCGAGTTTGCCACTATGAACGAAGGCTTATCTTCCGAGAAGAACCACAACCTTGGTGGTGTCCAATGCACGTTGCAGACGCGTTGTGGAGACTACTCGTAAGCTCGCGTTCAGCAGGAACGGACTAAACCATGGGCACCAGTAAATGCCACCCTCGGTACCACGACGCGTTTGAGCAAGCAGGGAGTCAATAATCTTCGTGCGCGAGAGCCAACGTTACTAGAACCACTCAGATGGGAAACTGCCATAGAGACTGCTCTGAAAAAGTGGCCCCAATCTGTCCACCAGAACCGAGCTAATGGTGAACACAACGCCGCCATTTCTCCCGCAGCGGCCACTCGAGGAACTGCACGTCGCTTCTATTTCGGCTTTAATCGGCCATTTTGGTGCCGAAACAGATACAGCAGAAGAGGTTACGGGGGTGCCACCCCCATCTCCCCAGCAGACGCGCCGCGGATGTCTACCGAAGTTAAAATTCACCGAGGTCGGGACGCGCTACCTGAAAGGACCGCTGAGGCATGGTTGTATAAAAACAATACTTATTGTTCCGCAAAACCTTGCAAACTAAAGATTATAAAAACATCACGCGCCCTTCATTTTGTACTAAACTCCAACAAATTTGATACAAAAAGAGTCTTTTCCGTTTGTTTTTACGCAAAAACATGCTTTCTAAAAGCTCAATGTGACCACAGTACAGACAAACGATAAAGAGTGGCGCTGTTGTCGCATTTAGCTCGGTCTCGGTGGACGCCAGCGGCCCAGGTTTCGACGGCGAGTTTCCCAACTGAGTGTTCTAGTAACGTTGGCGATAGGAGAGGAGCACTTACAAACTACGGCCGCTAAAACATAACATAACATAACAAGTAGAAATCGTCCGCTGGGACGGCTAAAAAGACATCTTAAAATACACAGTGAAAAGAAAAAGGTGGCAGTTCCAACAAGAAACCTACTTGAACACTAAGGACTTCAGGGCACAATTGGTTGCTTCGCAAACAGCCGATCCGCTGAATGTCGGCTGAGAAGCTGATGGTTAGTTTAATATTTTGGCAGTGCTCGTATTTAGTCTTCGTAAATCGATATCAGTAATTTACTTTGATCCGAGTTTTGACCCAAGTTAACCTTCGAGAATTTCTTCGAGTAACTTATTTGCTATCTTTGGCACGCGGTATCTTTTTGCCGTCTCTTCGTATCTTGTATTTATGAAGGGTTCAAATTACTTTCTGTTTGGTCTTATACTCTGTCCTTCATAATTTGCACTGAAGTGCGTGAAATATTACCACTTCGCCTGAGTTCTTTTGTTTTCGCCGCTGCTGCGCTGCGCTATTTTGGCAGGCTCTGTTTCTCTAGACTTACGTCTTGCGATAGCTTGCTGTCGGCATCGGGTACTGCGGAGCGTCCAGCACCCTAGGGAGTGAACCTTGTGGCGTACTTATGAGAAAGAAAAAAATGTAAGACTAGCAAAAACGCAAGCATAGTTTATTGAAATATTATATAAGTATGTGGAATCTGTTCAATGGAGTGTTTTTAGATCTGTGGAGTAAATTGGCTGTTTCATCAATGACCTCGGCGATGGCGGTTCAGCCCTTGGTGAATAATCTGGCAGGGGCTGGCCAAGCATTGGGTGACCGCTGAATGCAGCTTTATGTCCTACCTTCCTGCAGGTTGCTGGTCCGGCACAGAGCGCCTTCTTCGAGGCAACTGACGGTGTTGTCAACAAAGGATGATATAATTCCTCCTGTAGATATTGTTGCGCTCTTTTCTTTGCGGTATTTTATACGCAAGTTCATCTTTCACGTGCCTCAACATAAGAAAAACGATTTTCCGTGCAGTGCGCAATGGCAGGCGACATTTTTGTTTGATACATAATACATTTTGGGGTTGGTGTGGTTGTGGTAGGAAAACACATTTTTTGGGTCCAAAATATCACGACCTCACTGTTGGCGGAACCAGCAAGGGCATGGGGTTGGAATTAAGAGGCACGAACTGGTGTATAAGAACGCGATTGGTTGCGTGGCAGTGGCGTGGACAGACGACATCAACTACAGACCGCATAACTACTAATAGATCCGATACCTTACGAAAATTAAACGCATTCATGACGGTAACATATTGAATAAATATGAACAAAAAGGTTATTGTCAAAGCGCGATCGCGCTTTGCCAATAATTTTTTTTGTTGAAATTTACTTAATAAGCATCCTTAATCAATCGGCGGTAGCTTCTGCAAACGAGTCGGCGCCACACAGCGGTGAAGAAGCGAAACGGAGAAACGGAGCTCGCACCCTTTCCAAATGCTCTACGAAGTGCGTCGGCGCCTGGCGCTTAAAACGTGTAACACATAAAAAAAAAAAAAAAAAAAAATAAGAAACGAGGTCAGGAAACGCGCGCCCGAACTCTTCAGATAGCCTACCCATCTCTGCTCCATCCGCTCTTGCATCTTCGGCCATTCCTAATTATTACAGCTCTTCTTGAA